AAGTGGAAATCTTGGTCAGTGATGGAAATGTCTTTCCATACATACCTGGGAGACAGGCTATTTTAGTTGAAATAACCACATATCCATTTAAAGGAAAATTATAGCTGTTAAATGTGAGTTTGCCTGGATTTGAATCTTGGTTCTAAGATTTAATAATTTTATTTTTTACCAGGTTATTTAACTGTTTCTCTAAAGAGCTTCTTCATTTGTAAATGGTGATAACAATAATTTCTACTTTGTAAGTTCTCTATGATATTTAAATGACTGGCCCATAGTCAGCTGCAACCATAAACACTTTACACACATAGTGATGCCTTTAAATTTACCCTCCAAATAGTTATTTGATTCCATTTTTCCCCATAAACCTTCACTAGACAACCTTATGTGAATTTACTTTATGACATGACTTTCTGTATGGCATCTACATCTTCTAGGATTTCTGAAGAAGTATAGTACTACTGGTAGCCCTGTTTTTAGCAGTCAGTACAACAATGAGAGATACATACTGCTAAAGAAACTCACCTTGCAAGCTGTTATGATCAGAAATAGTGTTTGTCTATGGAGTATCCTTAAGTAAAATGGCCAAGGACTGAGCTTCTTGAGGTTGATTTTCTGATTTTCTTTACCTATAAGTGGATCCATAGTCATTTGTGTTTTTATTTTTATTTTTATTTTTTTTTGCTTTTTTTGTTTGTTTGTTTTTTGTATTTTAGGGGTGTACAGGGTGTTCAGGGTCTCACTGTGTATATCAAACTCCTAGCGATCTGCCTGTTTACAGCTTCCCAGAAGCTGGGATTACAGGTGCACACCACCACACCCAGTCTCAATTGCCATCTCAGTGTGCCCCGGGGCAGGTCCAGCACAGCAGGTCCCAGGGGATTGAACCCCTGCCCCCTGCACCTGCTTGCAGGCACTTTAATCCACTGAGCTATTTGGCTGGACCTTCCATAGTCATTTGTATGTAACAGTTTGACACTCACAGTGTCTTGGAAAAATGAATCTTGCATGACACATCTAAATGTATTGCAAATAAAATTGCACTAGATGATACCAATAGGGTTTCTATTAATGAACTGATATTTACTGGGTTGATACCATCTTTACACTGCCACTGCAGGAAAATATGTACATGGGGTCTTGCTAAGTCAAGTATTTGTGAAATCTGGCCAGATTATGTTAAGAGATGTTACCGGCTTAAAATAACTTTTCCTCATTAACTTATGACTTTTAATAACAATTTTGAGAACTAAACATTAGTATATTAGTATGATCAAGATTAGTATGTTTGTTTGGAATTAAAAATTATTTCCTTAAAAATATGGTTGTGTATAAGAAAGACATATCATAGATATACTACCAAGTACTTTAAAAAAAAATTATTTATTTTGTGTGTGTGTGTGTGTGTGTGTGTGTGTGGCCAGCTCAGCCCACCAGGGGGCAGGGCTGGCTGGCATGTGGTACTGGGGGATTGAACCACGGTCCCTGTGCTTTGCTTAGCTTAGCTGGTGAGATGGCTCAGTGGCCTAAAGCACCTATTTAGAACAAGTACTTTTTTTTTAGTTCAAATAAACTCTTTACATTTACCTCAATTAGGCATAATGCAAAAGAGTAATATAAAGTTCTTGGTCTTGACATGATCTGAAGAAAGTCATTCTGTCTTTGTATGGAAGCCATAGAGGTAAGTCACTCTGATCTCCCTTCCAAAGCACCTGCAATGGAAAGCACAGATGACTGACCATGATGAGCTCTATCTACTATGGAATTCATGTCAGGTTGTTTCTGACCTTTGACTAAGCAGAGCTAAAGCACTGTAACCTGGCTTCTTCTGTACACTCAGTCTCAGGTGACACCACTAGATCTCTTCCACAGGCATCCTTCTGCATGGCTTCTCCTGTACACTCAGTCTCAGGTGGGTGACACCACTAGATCTTTTCCATAGGCATCCTTATGCACAGCAGGGGATCCACAGTAAAGCTCATGTCACACAAAAACAAGGTAAAGGATAGGGTTCTACCCATGAAATCTAAATGTTCTATATTGTATTGTTTAGGTGAAGCTAGCCTTGTGGAGTACTTGAAGTGTTGTATTGAAGTCACAGCCAAATCAGTACTGAGATAAGAACATGCAAACCTGCTGCACCTGGCCTCAGGAGATAGGCCAGTGGTGGAAACCTATGGCACAGGCACTGCATAAGGCTTTTGTTATCACTGAGAGGTGTAAAAGGTTTGCCATTATTGTTATAGGCACTAAATAAGTGCTCTTGATAAGGCGCAGTGTCTCTGGTAGGAATACATGGATATACAAACCAAGGAGTAAAACCAAGAATGGCCTCATTTACAGTCATTCCTATTGAACCCCTGGGGAACTTTGTGCTTTTCCTCACATATCTCTGGGCCAAGCAGAGTTAGAGATCCTGATCTTCAGTGGTTTCTTCACTTGTAAGGAGGCAGGGCAAAGATTCACTGAACTACAAATACCGATGAAAGATAGTTTTGGTTTTTGCACCCATGGATCATTAGGTAGACATAACTGATTAGCCAGAGGAGGTGGAGCTATTTTTATATACATTGGGGTCAACATGACACATACATAAGATTGGAATGATCTACTTAGGTGTCTTTTGGTATGCCCTCGGCCAACAGTTACCTGTGAATGTACAGGTAACAAACCCACAATGAAGAGTATAAAGATTCAAGGATTAAGGCTCCTTAAGAATAAATGCTTAGGTCATACCAGCAGGTACATCATGAAGACACACTGAAGTGACAACTGAGTAAGGGGAATCTGCAGTGAATACCATAAAGCAAGTACCAGTGTGACATGAGGCCACTGCAATGTGAAGGACTTTAGTATGTCCCATGACCCTAACTTTTCCAAGCTTACCAAAGAGTGGCTTATAGGAATCCTAGAGGAGATACATGATAAACATTGTTTAAAACTGATTTATATCCCAGCTTGGGCACTTTGAGATCCATTAATGAACTTGCATCAGATCCAGTTTTTCCTCCACTGTTATAAGAACATGACATGACCCAGGAGGCATATTAGAATTGTGCCATTCTGACCCATTCTGGAATTCTAATGAACAAGTTTGGCTTAGGTCACCCATTGATCTGGCCAAGACTCTCAGAATTACACTACAAATTGCGTCTTTATTTAGCTTTTCATCCTTTTCTAAAGTTTCATAGGCTCTAACCTGAATTGTAATCTGTGTTTCTCAGCCTTGTACTCCTTCTCCCTGCTTCATCCTTCAGAGGCATTTTCTCCAATCTCTTGGACATCTAATCTTTATTGATATCTACTTGCAAAAGACAGTAACTGATCCCATGACTACTGTTTTCAAATTTCAGCAAAAGAAATGATAGCCTCACAAGATAATTTAGAATGATTCAAGAGTCTCAAAATCCAGGAGCAGAGCCTAACCTTTAGCTTGTAACAACTTTCTTAGGGATCAACAATTGCTCTAGTTTTGTTTGCTCTACTCTTTAAAAAAATTCCTCCAAAATTTGAACTGATGAATGAGTCAAAATCACTCTGATATATGTTAATTTCAGAAATGAAAATGTCTACTGAGCTACAGTAAATTGGACCTACTATTTGTAGCATGGCTGTGATAGCACAGTCAAATACAAAGCCTGTAAGGTGATTTGGAAAGGAAGGCAGCATGAGGAAAGAAGAGACAGTACATGTTCATATATCAGAAGAAATACATTAAGGAACCAGAAAAATTCATTATTTGAGAGAATACAGATAAAAGGGGAGGGAATGTTAAAAGAAGGGAAGCTATTGAAAGAAATTGTAAACAAGGTGTAAAAAAGACCTGGAGGCAAGATGCTCAGCCCAAATGTCCTAGAAGAGGCTGAGCTGGGTTGGGGGCAACACAATCGAAATTGTGTGACTTTAGAGAATCAATTTATGTAGTTTATGACATCATTACCTTCCCTCATGGCTTGCTGTAACATCTCCCCTGTCTAATCCATCTCATCTTATTGGTTCTATATTCAAAACTAGAGCTATGATCCTCTCCCTTAACAAATCCATCATCTTGCTTCTGGGCCCCAGCATTTCACTCCCCTGGGTTACTGCGATGGCTTTCTAACAGTTCATGTACTCTCAACACTGCACAATGAAGTCTTTAATTTACACCTTTATTCCCAGCCTGCAATGACCTTCAAGACCCCCATCATGCTAACTTCTGCTCTCACTACTGTTGTCTTGCTCACTCTGTTACAATTCCACTGATTTGCTTTGCTCTTCAAACACACAAGGCACTTACAGCTTTCAATGGTTTTTCTTTTTCATGCCTGACGCACATACGTATAGAACTATATTATCACTGACTCTTCCCTCCTCAGTCAGCTCAACTCAGCAATGAGGCTACTTTAATTCTTCAGTTTGTCCTTTATCTTCTCAATACTGTTTTTCTTTTTATGTAGAGCTTTTTTTAATATAATCATATACTTCTGAATTGTATACTGTATTGCCAGCTGTTTCTACCCTCACATAAACTCCATGGAAGGAGTGGTCTTTATTCATGGATCTTTCCCTGGTAGTACTAGGAAAGCATTTAATAAATATTGGGTGAATTTACTTCGAAGTTACATTTTTCTCCTCGCAGGGCAACTGCTATTTGGTTATGAGCCTTAATAAGGTTCCCACCTTCTCAACTGGGCAGAAAAACACAAGGCCTAAGTCACAGGGCTTACTACCTATTTAAAAACTAACCCAGCCCACCTAAGAGGCTCAATTTGCACATCTTGATCCTAAAGTTTTAAAAGACACGGATGTCTAACTGCTGGCGTCCATTAGTTTCTACGGCTGGCGTAGGGGCGCCAACGCGACCCTCACCCAGCACTTCCCCACTCTCAGCACGTGCGACTGCCAACGCCCCAAAGGCAGAGCTCTTCGGCCGCCGGGCCTGAGGCGACGCGACGCGGCGCGGGCCTTGCCCTGCCCGCAGCTTCAGTGCCCTCACTTAGGTGGTTAGTCCGCGCCTAAACAGCGTGCTCGCCGGCCCGGGAGGCCCGCGGGCCCAGGACCGACGCGCCGAGGCAGCGTCTCCTCAGCGCCCCCGCCTTCCGCAGGCAGCTGGGCGGGCCCCAGCGCCGGGCCGCGAACAGGCGGCGCGGCGAACACCCGCGCGAGGCCCCGCGGCGCGTCAGGGAAGCGCGCCGGCCACCTCGGTCCCCAGACGCCGCCGCCGCACGCACGCACGCGCAGTGCACGCAGCATGAGGGTCGCGGCCTTGATCAGGTAACGTGGAGCTGGGCCGCCGCCGCCTCCTCCTCCTCCTCCTCCTCCGGGTCGGCCTCTAGCCCCTTCCTGCCGCCGCTGGCGCCCGGAGAGACAGGCTCTGCGCGCAGTCTGGTGCGGCTCGCACTCTTCCGGCCCCGGGAAGAGGCGGGGCGTCCGGCCGGCTCCCGGCTGGCTGCCCTCGGCGCTCGTGCGCCCTCCTCCCCGCCGGCCCGCGGTCGGGCCCCGCTTCGCGGCTCTGGGGAACCTTGAAAAGCCCTGGCGCCTGGCCGCGCCGCCAGGGGCGCTGGTTTAATTACTCTGGGGTTGCTTGCATCGGGTTTGTGCAAGTTCCAGAGGGCCTTGAAGTTGGAGACCCGCCTCTGATGCGGCTTTAACAGCTACCGCCTTTTCCCGGGTGTCCTTCTGCTGTGCAGTTGGGTGCGTGGTGCCCGCCACCTTTATTTTAAGGTCTCTCCTCCCACATCTTCCATCGCACAGGTGGTTTTACAGGATACACACCTGTTGCTCACTGCCTCCCTCCATGTTTCTCTTCCCTCGTGGTTTTTCACAGTTGTACTGTTTTAGGCTAGAGCTAGTTCAGCTGTTCACGATGCGCGGCCATGAAGGCTTTTATGACTCTGGCGTAACATCCTTCATATTTGAAAGGCGTTGAATTATGTAGTCATTATATTTGCTGTGCAAATAAGTTATAGAACTGACAAATCCCAAAGATAATTTAGAAGTTTCAACACCCAGCCTCTAAATTGAGGTAATAGAGCACACAATATTGCAAAGGAAGATTGGATTATTTAAGTATTTCATTTCCAGAAAAGTGAGTGACGAGTGTCTAAGGTACATTGCAGTGATGGGTATACTTTTGAAGTACATTGAAGATTTTATAATTACTTCATTCACTTCCCTAAGTAACCCATAATGGTTGACAATATTGACCTATTATAGGCTGGATACATTTCCAGTTGCTGCAGCTATTAACAATACTACATTCCAGTTTCTTTTACAGGAATATAAAATAGTCAAAGTAAGTATTTTTATTTAGTAAATTTCTTCTGTGAAGGCAGTGATTGAGTTTGAACCATTGTGATTTTTCACTTAGTTTTCAGAAATAAGACATAAATAGGCCAGGAAATGAGTAATTCACATCAACATTCAGTTTGCCAAACGTCTTAAAGATTAACACTGTACATACATAATAAAGATGGAAATTTTGAGGGAAAGAGAAAGGATCCATATAATCTGTTACACCAGATATTCTAAACTGAGCTTATGTTACTTTTATAATCAAGTTACTGAAAAATGTAATGGTTGAAAAGTTGCTGGGCTGGGGAGATAGCTCAGTGGTCTAAGCACCTGCCTGGCAAGCACAAGGACCTGCCAGCCCTGAAACTGGGTATGGTGGTGCAGATGTATAATCTCAGCGCTGTGGAGTCTGAGACAGGAGGATTACTATGAGTCCGAGCTGCTTAGCGAGACTTTGAGATAAATATTATTGGTATACATAAGAGTTTTAGGTATGTCAGGAGTTAATAGTATCGATACACCAATATATGCTCATGACATGCCTATGTCATATCACAGATTGTACTTTTAATGTATATTATGTATCTATTTTTATATTTATATATGTACATTTGAATCTGAACAGTGAATCTCTGTGTTTGTGTATGATAATGAGAGATAAAAAGTATATGTGTGTTTTAGGAATAAGTGAAACAGATTTTTTAATACCTTTAGGTCAGAGAACAGTTTTATTGATTTATAAACAAATATTTTATAGTTGAATGATGCTGTGAACATTATCAAAGTGAGCCATTCTCTGTAATGACATGTATAAACCGAGTGCTGAGTAATTTGGCTTATTACTTCAGAGTTGGAAACTGAAAAACTGATCTGTAATATTTCTCATCAATATTTACTGTACATTTATGCCTAGTTATTGTACAAAATTGGTTACAGGACATCTCTGCATACTAAAATCTGCAGATGCAAAGTCTTTCATACAAAATGGTATATAGAACCTCTGATAACCTCCAATATATTTTGTCATCTCTTGATTATTTGTAATACTTAATACAAAGTACATGCTATGTAAATAGCTGTAATAGTGTATTTTAGTGAACCTGTGTGTATCTTATCACCAGTGCAGTTTCTGTTTCAAGTATTTTCTCTTTGTATTTGGCTAATTCTATGTTGAACCCATAGAAATGGAAGGTGGAATAAGGATTGACTATGCTTGTGTACTTACCAAATGCTACAGATAATAAGTAGTCAATGCCTCTCAATGTTGTTTACCTTTGTTCTTAACCATTTTTGTTCTTAAAATACTCAACATTTTGTTAGACACTAGTCCTCCCAATGTAGAACACATTGGAAGTAGTACTTTGAAACCATATTTCATTTTATAGTAAATTGTAAGGCTAAATGCTGATTTGGAGGTATACTCCTCAGTCTTTCATATTTCATAGTTTTATTTTTGCATTTTTTTTGAGAAAGTAGTGGGTTCAATAACAGTAGTTGTGGAAAACTTATTTAGGGAAATCTAAATCTGAAGAGGAGAAGTGCTTGCTTTTTGCTCCTTGCACTCTTCCTCTCAGGAAAGTTCTGAAATGAGCATTGTAGATACAGTGGTGGCTGATACACTGATAATATTGATGGTTAATATTACCAGTGTAATTCACCATTTAGTTCTCATATCTACAAAATCTGAAGACGAGTGTGTCAAGCTTTGTCATGATTCAAATTGTACTAAGAACAAGTTTTTTTTAAAACAAACAAACAAACAAAAAAAACTTAATTTCATCCAAGGTGTATATGTAGTAACTTGCTGAGATTTTAAAAAAAAATTTAATTTGTGAAATATTGTATTAAGTAAGGCCACTATCACAAACTAGAGGGTTATTATACTTTAGCATATTCTTTGTTTTTGTGACATGTAATTTCATAAGCACTTGTAAATAACAACTCTAGATATTTCAGTTTCATATGCTTAGTTTGCATAAGAATTAGAAGTTAATTGTTATTACATTCTGATTGAAGTCTCATTCTGAAAAGATAACTATGATTAAATAATGGGTTCTATTTTAATTTTTAGTAATTTTTGAATAATGGTTAGTATCTGGTTCTGTATCTCTCTCTGTCTCCTCTCTCACTTGCTCTGCATTATTTTATTTTTAGTGGTGGCAAGGACAGCTGTTATAATATGATGCAGTGCATTGCTGCGGGGCATCAGATCGTTGCTTTAGCAAATCTGAGACCAGATGAAAACCAAGGTAAGTATATGCTTTTCCTAGGAAATTCTCAAAATGAATGTGCATTTTGTTGTATGTACACAGAAGGGCAAACCCCCCCCAACACATAGTTAGCCCTGTTAGATGTTAGGTTAGACATAGGAACAGCCAGTAGGAAGAGGTATTGTCAGTCTCTTACTAGACAGGGGTAGTGAAGCTCAGAGTTCTGTGTTTGTCCAGAGAAGAGTTTCAAAGTGAGAATTGAACCATCTTATTTCAGAGTTCATTGCTGTTCTAGCATGCCTCATCTCCAAGTGTTGGAGGCAGTATACAGAGAAATAGGAGAAATCTCCTACCTTGAGGAACTTGGGAGATAAGACATGTATTATACATTCATAATATGAACATTTTTTAAAAATACATAGTTTTATTTTAGATGTAAGCCAAAGCTGTGAGACTTGAGAGAAACGTAAAATATATATTTCTACTTGTTTATGTATGATTAAGAAATACATACAGTTTGAGTAATTTTTCAGTTTATTTTGAAATTTTCAGTTTTCAAAACAATATATTCACAATTTTTTATATTCTTTAGTTATATAAATATTAACAGAAATCAGAGGGCAAAAAGATTAACACTGATCTAACTTTGTATATTGTTCCTTTTTTACATGACTTTGTATTAAGATGTTTTTAGGCTCTGTGCTTTTGTATTACTTTTATTTTAGGATGAATTAAGAAGATAGTGTGTGAAAACATTAATCATATTTCCTAGCATGAAGTAGCTATCCTGTAAATGTAGTTGAATCAGAATAAAAAACTATTTTCCTTCTGTGTTTGCCCACCTGCCTGCCTGCCAGTCTTTTGTATTTTGCTTTTATATTATTTTGTAGTTGTTTTCTGTATTTTTAATCTTTGTTCTTTATACCTTGATAGATTTATTATAAGGGAGTCTATCACCTTTCTTCCTCTGAGTGTCCTCAGCACTGGGGACATCCCTATATCACTCATACGCATTCAGTTTATTGGTAGACCAAAACTAATGAACTCACTTGAATTAGTTTTTGGTTAGGGTCTACTACAGGGTGTTTAGGGTCTCACTACTAGTTCAGACTCAGGCCTGTGCCATCACACCCAATCTCAATTGCCATCTCAGCATGCCCTGAGGGCAGAGCCAACACGGCAGGCCTGGGGATCGAACCCCTGGACCCTGCACCTGCTTGCAGGTGCTTTAATCCACTGAACTATTTGGCCGGCTCTGTGCTGGGATTCTGATGATGAATAATAGCTATTTTTTAAGAAGTATGTATATATATATATATATATACATAATTTTTTTTTAAGTGGCTTTAAGTTAAAAAAATAACTCTTCCAGCATGAATGGCAAATGTTCTGTGATCTGTGTACATATTATAAGACAAAGAAAAAGCTTTACCAAAGGAAAACTGCCTTTTTCCCCTTGTGACCAGTTAGGCAAGAGGGTCTTTTAAAGCTAATTTGAAAGTTCTTAGTGTTTAAAAGCAGGTGCTTTTTATTTTTTTATTTTATAAAGAGAATACAAGATAATAATAAAAAAAAATTACAAGTGATACAGAATTTCACTTAAAGTAATGAATTTCACAGTATTTGTTGTAATGCAGTGTTGTCTTCCAACCAGTTATTCATATTACCAGATATATGCTTGTAAAATTGGAAGAAAAAAAAAAGAAATATGTAAGAAATTAAGAATAGGAAAAGGAGAAACAATTGAAAATAGGAGACTAAACAAATTAAGCATTATCTGCTCCTTTCCATAGATCAGCAAAAATCCACAGTATAGTTGTCCAACCCGTCTTGTTTACATACATAGGTATCCCCCCTACACTTCCTCTCTTGTCCTTTTCCTCAACTCAGTAACTCTTTCCTTTTGAGTAAGTTCATCCCCTTAGGCATATTGTCCTTTTCAGATTCCATTTTCTCTTTCAGGTTCTCACACTAGGGAAACAATATGATGTTTGTACATGCGTGTCTGATTTATTTCTCTTGAGAGTATAGTCTGTAGTTGCATCCATTTACCAATAAAAGTCTGAAATTTATTTGTTTTATAGCTGAGTAACACTCCATTGTGTAAAAATACCACATCTTCTTTATCCATTCTTCAACTGATGGGCATCTGTGTTGTTTCCAGGATTTAGCTATGACAAATTGTGCTACTATAAATATGGGTACACATATATCACTGTGGTATGATGTTTTCAGTTCTGTAGAAATAACCAAGAGAGGCATAGCTGTCTTGAATGGGATCTCCAATTCTAGCTTTTAAGGAATCTCCACATTCATTTCCATAGTGGTTGCACTAATCTGCAATCCCAACAACAGTCGAGGTTTCCTTTTTCCCCACAGTCCCTCCAGCATTCGTTATTGGCTGACTTCCTGATGTTAGCTATTCTTTCTCAGATGAGACGGTATCTCAGTATTTTTTTAATTTGCATTTCTCGAATGACCAATGATATTGAACATTTTTTCATACATTTACTTGCCATTTGTATTTCTTCATCTGAAAAGTGTATATTCATTGCAAATGCTCATTTTTAGATTGGCTAAAGCAGGTGTTTATATAATATATAAAACATATATTATACAATTATAATTTTTCTCCATGAAGTTTGTGTCTTGTCCTCAGCTTTTCTATGTGAGTTAATGTATTTAACTTGTATGGAATCATTAATGTGTAATTTTCATGTGCTCATTGTTTACTGGCAGAGTAGTGACAAGTGAAGTGTCCTGGTTATTTTTCTTGCTGCTGAGACAAAACACCTGACACCACAAGTTAAAGGACGAAAGGCTTTATTTTTGGTTCACTGTTTGTAAAGTTTTCAAGCCATAGTACGCCAACTCTAAGCCAAGGCAGCATGGCAGAGGGGCATGGCAAGAAAAGTAGTCCACAGTATGGCAGAGGAGGCAGGAGGAGGCAAGCCTCTTATAATTCCATCTAGGCTCTAGACCTTTTGGGTGGTGCTACCGACAGGCAGGTTGGGTCTTCCATTGTACACACTCAAGTTTGTGCTAAATCTAGTTTTCTCACACTCTTAGGCCAGGTATCACACAGTGTAATCCAGCATCACACCATGATCCAGTCATCTCCCCAAAATCTTACCTATGAACTCAAGACTCTTGTCAGGGACATTTAAACGTAATGTTTATCTTTATGTGTTAGTGGATTGGAGACATTTATTTAAAATATTGTTAGTGATAGGAAATGGAATTAACTGAAACTGTAGTAATTGTAGAAGACAATAGACTGTTGTAGGTTGGTAGATGGAGAGGATTTATATAATACTATTTAAAGTCAGCAAGGAATTGGGATTATTGAATGGTTTATTGGTTGACTTCTTTTTTTTTTTTTTTTTTTTTTTGGCGGAACCGGGGATTGAACTCAGGCCCTTGCGCTTGCCAGGGAAGCTCTTATTCCACTGAGCCATCTCCCCGGCCCCTATTGGTTGACTTCTTTATCCTTCAAACGTTGTGAAAGGAATCTCAATGAGGAATAAGATGAGAGATGACTTCATGGAGCAAAGTTGGTCATCATATTGTTTTTATTTATTTTTTTTAATTAAGTTGATATAAGGTCTTGCTATGCAGTTCAGACTTGTAGTGATCCTCCTGTCTCAGCCTCAGGTGTGCACCACCATGCCTGGTTGGTGGCTGGCTCAGCGTGGGGCCGACATGACATATGATGCCAAGGATCAAACCCAGGTCCTTGGGCTTGCCAAGCAGGTGCTTATACCACTGAGCTAACTCTCCATCTATATTGAGTTTTTAATAGTCTGGAAAAGAATTTATTACCATCAATGGGAATAATGTGCATTTGTCATAAAATTCATGAAACTTTCTCTTTTAATTTGTAATGGAGACATTTATGGCAGGTTAACTGAGGTGCTTCAGGCAGAGTTGGAGCCTTTTGGTGTTATTTGATCTCACAATAGTTGTTTCAAGGTAGCTTCCATTAATAAAAGTTACATTATTGATAAGACTAAATGGAGCCTTAAAGAAAAATTTTTGACTCTGTTTTTGAAGCCAGTACAATGATTTCATTATACTAACTTCAGGATGGTTCTTGCTAAACTCCAATTTCTTTTTTATTTTTATTTTTATTTATTTATTTATTTTTGTTTTTGGTGTCAGGAATTGAACTCATGACCTTGCACTTTCCAGATAGGCATTGTGCCACTGAACTGTATCCCTGACCCTCAAATTTCTTTGTAGAAATTGAGTCCCTGGTATTCATGACTTTTAGTATCAAGACATGTATAGATCCAGTCTAACATGGAGATGAAGAAAGGCTAAAAGGTTTTAAATAACTTTGGCTATATCTGTTTTCTACTAGGTGCAGGTGTAGATAGGTTTATTATAATAATGGGAGTTCCATGCTACAGGAATCCATTCTGATGTGTGGATTAGTAATGTGGTAAATCATATGACATGGCAGATGGTGGTGAAAGTATTCACACTATCATTATCATTGTCTTTTGTTGGGATTACTTCCATGATTGGTGGAAAGTGTGAACCTATTTGTTATATATACATATATAACATTCAGATACAAATATGTCCAACAAATGACTTGAATGAATCTAAGTATTCTCTAAGTTTATAGATATTGTACACTGTCTCCCCTTGTTGAAGGATTTGAAAACATAGTAGCTTGGGGAGAACTGTTTAAAACATGTATTTAGCATTATTTATTCCCAGTTTTGTAATTTGACATGGAATCCTTTTTTCATTCTATACCTATTAATACCACAGGTGATTTGTAGTCTACACAGTGCAAGTTAGAAAAGGCTAAAATTACATTAATGACTGCATAGTGTTTCATTATCTGGATACATAATAATTTTACTCCACTACATATGATCTTTGTAAACTGTATGTTCATTAATCTTTTTTTAGTAAGCAAAATTACCAGTTCAAAATGTCTGACCAGTATATTTCTGAGTTCATTTATGTCTTTATAAGATAGGAAATTACTAATGTTTTAAATGTCTTACCCGTATTAGTATTTATACAGTCTGTGACAACCAGTAATTGTATTGTTGATTATCCTGTTACATGTTTCTATACACATTGGTAAGTGCACTAACAATAGTGAATGTATACTTGTTTTATTCAAGTACTGAATATAAGATATACTAAGAACATCTGAATTTTTCTTGCAAATATTTTTAACTTAATAACTAGTAGACATTTAATAAAAGTTTTTAGATTTATGCAATAAAATTGATGGACTAAACTAATAAAAATTTATTGGATATATACTATTACTATTTTTGAATGTTGTACATATTTTTTATTTGCACTTATCAGTAGAGTAGCACTCCTAGGTACTAAATTAAATGCGGCTATGGAAAAATATTTGTTATTGTCCTACTATATAAGTGCTCAGAGACATTTTCTTTCTGTTTTACTTTTTGTTGATTATTTCTACTTTTAATGTTGCAGAGAGGTCTGATGAGCTGGATAGCTACATGTATCAGACAGTGGGTCATCAAGCCATTGACTTCTATGCAGAGGCAATGGCTCTTCCGCTGTACAGGAGAACCATCAGGGGAAGAAGCTTGGATACAGGACGGGAGTACACTAGATGTGAAGGTGATGAGGTTGAAGATCTCTATGAGCTTTTGAAACTTGTGAAGGTATACAGAGTGACCAATTACTTTTTTTATAATTTAGCATATAGTTAGTAAATTTTATTTATTGAATTATTTAATAATAAAGAATATACATCTATTAATAATCAAACTGGTCTTTGAAGAGGTATTTTATCTTTTGTGGAGTAGGAAAAAATGTATGCCTTTACATTAGAGGATATTTCAAAATTAAGACTGTAGTACAATATAATTTGTCATTCAAAGTTGTCATATAGTAATGTTGTTCAGTCTTTTTTTAACAAATATTTTTGAATGGCTTACTATGTGCTTGGCACATAGTGCTAAACACAGGGTAGGGCACTGACCAAATCAGATAAGTGTGTATTTGATATAGGATACTTTCTAGGGATTAAAAAATGACACACAGTGAACAACAACATGCTTAATGTTGGAGACTATTAGGAGAAAGACTGAAACAGTGTCAAAATATGGGGATTATTTACCTAATAAGTGCTACACTCAGTAAATATTAATTGTTAAGCAATTATCATTTTCACCCACAGCCAATGATTTGAGTGGTTTGGTATTTTTCTTGAGTTTGAATTTTATTGGGCATATTGAAGAGAGGCAATTTAAGCCAGTATTTCTTAACATATATTCACAAGGAAAAAGAAAGAACAATACTTGTTCTGTGTATTAAGGGACAGAGTATTTCATTTGCTTGCTTTTTTCTTTTTGTTTTGTTTTGTTTTTTGAGACAGGGTTTTGTCATGTAGTTCAGGCTGGTCTTGAATTTAATGTGTAGCCTAGATTGGCCTCAAACTTGCGGTAGTCCTCCTGCCTCAGGCTCCCAAGTGTTGGGATTGTAAATGTGTTCCACCATGCTCAGCTCAATTTTCTTGCTTTTAAGAAAAGTTAGCCTTTTCAGAAGTGTTGTCTTGAAACTATAGCATGAAAATTTCTTGGTCTCAAATCTCTATTATGCTTTACATTTGATATTGATCAAAGCTTACTATCAATTCAGGATTTTGATTAAAAGCATGAAACTCTTAATTCAAGTTTGCTTGATAAAATATTTCTTACTTTATGTATCAGGAAACTTTAATTTTTCCTTAAAAAAGACTAATAGGAAAAACACTTTGTTTAGCTCTAGATAGCATAAAAAGTAGATTCTTTTTAAAAGAAATCACAGGGAAGGGACATGCTAATTATAGCTGTTTTTATTATCTATAAAAGATACAAATCTGCCTTTCTTGGCTGTGTCTCCAGCTTAGTACACATACAGTCTCAAGAATATTTACTTTAAAACACAAAAGATTTCTGAGTGCAAATCTTCCACTCTCTAATTCTCCACTTTAAGGTACAAATCTTCTACTTTCAAGGAGAAACTTAGCATTAAGTTTTTAATATAAACTAATACTTAAAAATGGTGGGACTCATACTAGATGTTCTTGGGTTGCTTGAAAATCACAAACTTTAGAGAAGCTATGTGATAACAGTCCTCCACAAAAAGGAAGGCTAATGAACTTACTAATTAGTTTTAATTAGAAATGACATATTAATAGTAAATAAATTTCTTTTTTTTTCTTTTTTTAAGTTTGGAGAAATGTATCTTTATAGTAACCATCAGTTATGATATAAACTAATGTTAATGTTAACTCTTAAAAACTTCAAATTTTGTACATAATAATAACTATAGTTGAAAGAGATGTTAACTTGTCTGGGACTAAATAACTCCTTTTTCTGTGTAGAAATTCTAATTTTACTGTAGGATATTTTAAGGACATAAATATCAGAAATGTACTGCTTTATGGAAGAAATTGTGTAACTAAGCTTTAATAGCTAAATCCATTAATGGAACATTGATACAAAGATTCTTTTTTTATATTTTTATTTTATGAAAAGCTAAAATAAAATTTCATTACAAAATAATGGTTAGTACAGTGTTATCATTATCTTCAAAGTAGTTACTCAGAGTACAAGACATAGACAAAATGATTCTGTCTTACGATGAAGAGGCAAACCAATAATAGCACAAAACTTCCTTTTCAATGAACTAAAAGAAACTAATAGTGTAAATGAAACAAGTTAACATATATATTAAAATGTATTTGAAACCATACAATAGGTAATTTGGGGATTTACTTGAACTTCTATGTCCTATCTATCTTTCTATCTTTCTATCTTTCTATCTTTCTATCTATCTGTATCTCTATTTGAGTTTCTCAAAAGAAACCATGCAGAGCCAGGCACATATTTAATCTCAGTACTACTCGGGAGGCTAGGGCAGGAGGATCATTGCAAGTCTGAGATCAACCTGGGCTACAAAGTGAGCTCAAGGCTGGCACTGAACTCCATAGCTAGACCCTGTCTCAAAAGGAGAAAAAAAAAGAAACCATGCAATATTTGATCTTGTGTGCATGAATTATTTCATTTAACATTGTGTTCTCAAGATGCATCCACTTACCTATATATACCTCATTTTTACTGTTTTTAACTTTTGTTTTATTTTATTTTTTAATGTGTTCGGTACATGGTCTACAGGGACTCACTATGTAGATTGTACTTGTAGTGATTCTCCAGTTTTCAGACTCCCAAGCACTGGGATTATAGGCACATGCCAGTCTCAATAGCTGTCTCAGTGCGCCTCGTGGGCAGGGCCTGCATGGCAAGCCAGGGATTGAATGCTGGTCTCTGTGCTCTGCATAAGCAGGTGCTTTAGTCTGCTGAGATATCTGGCTATCCCTTAATTTTTATTTTAAAGAGAATAAAATAATAAAAATCCATTAGAAACAATATATAATTTCAAAATAAGGTGATAAGAATTAAACACTGGTTGTTACATTCAAGTCAGCAACTTCTAACATTGCCAGTCTTATGGAAAATCCACTACTTTTATGGACTACTGGAGTATATTGGAATATTTTGCTGAATTCACACACCTATAATAATTAAATGACAATGGAATACCCATCTCTGACAAACTAAACAAAAAAAGAAGATACAAATAAAGGACCATTTTGTATCTGTATATTCAAAATAGGATATATAT